TCAAAATTAAATAGTCCAATATATGAATTAATATTCGTCAAGATATTAAGTAGTCATAGATTCTATAGAATCATCAGTTATATTAAACATATAATTTATACTTATTGGTTAATAACAATTAAAGTTGTCAACCCTAAATATAGGAGTGACACACTGGTAATAACGAAATGAAACTAAGAGGTTTAAAAAAGATATTATGTTTTAATTGTATTGATTATTACTAATATATATATATATATATTATAATTGAAAAAACAAATATATATAAGCGATATTGATCAAGGCAAGTAATCATATCTTAGAATTAATATTTTAGTATACGAATATTTAATTAAATCAAACTAAAGCTGTCCTTATTTAGCAGCTTTTCTTTAACTAATTAAATAACTTTTAATTCAAAAAACAAGGCTTCCTACAAACGCATTTGCGGATAAATCCTTGGCAACGACCATATTCCTCCACTTCCATTACATTCCTCTAAATCTATGCTATTTGCTTCGCATATTTCTTGTCTTTGAACCATTTTCATACCTATAAAAAATTATTCAATAAGAATTCAAATTAGTGGCTGTAAATGTAAATATGAACTACCAAAAACTTCACAATTGCTGCAAATATTTTTCAATAATTTCAAGTGCTTAATATTTGATGTAAAATATAATCATTTATAATGCCAGTTTAATATTACCTAAATAGAATAAAAAAGTGTTCAATATATAATGACATTTTGTTATATATTATTATTTTCATGTAAGTTGTGGGTTTTTAAATATTATGCTAGATATTGTATCCAAGATACTTTTATTGCATAAAAAAAAGAATCAAAAATATAAGTGTATAACATGTATATATATGTATATATATAATATTTGGTTACATACATATAACTTAATATCATGGAAAATCACTTATACCCACAAGTAGTATGGATAAAAAGAAAAACTTGGCGATTAACTGCATAAAATCCTTCATACTTAGCAACTAGTTTAGTTAAATAAATATAATCTAGATGAGACAAATAAAACTAATAATAAAATTACCTTGTGACATTTTTACGAGCAGCTAAAATTTTATAGTGGACATAAGCATAACTTTAATTGATATAAAATCAACATATATATATATCAGTTATTAATTTGTAATTATGAAAATAAAAATATGTGGAACAAAATAATTTTTTTTTAGGAAACATATATATGATTAATTGTACCATAAACTGCATAGAATAATAGAAAGAAAGTAGAGTTCAATCGGCACGAAAGTGCAGGTATTCTTTTTCATTTGTTAATGTATAATTTTGATATATTATAGTAAAAGTCTTAGAATATATGATTTACATTTCTAGTGTTGTATATATATATTGTGTAGCTCTATAATATTATTGTTTAGGTTTTTATATATAGTGATTTATTCTATATATAATTTAATTTGTTATTAAGTTTTGTTACATGCTAGTATATGATTTGAATTCGGTACAATAAATTTATAATCTGAAAATCAAAAAAATTATATCTTTCAAAATAGGATTTTTTTTAGGAAGTTCTCTCAAATAGTCAAATTAAAGTTTTTGTCACAAAAAATTTCCCTAAAAAAGGTGCATATTTACCATTTAATAAAAACTTATTTTTGTCATATTTGTTCTCGAGAGCTATTTTTGTGAAAATAAACTAAAAACGGGTATCCAAGAGAATTTTTTTTTAATTTCTAAAATTTTCATACAATATATTTTGAAATTTTCATTTTAATTTTATAATATTTATCCTAAAAACTTTTATTTTTGTCACAATAAATTTTCTACAAAAGATATATTTATTTAAGGTGCTATAGAATTTTGATTATGAAAATATTATAGATTAAAATAATAAAGATGTATTCAACATATTATGGAAATATATATTAATTATGGAGACATTATTTTAGTAAACTTTTATCGATATAGGATACTTTTATTAAGTCATGGTTTAGATAGAGTTATGGTGAGATAATCACAATAGAGAAGAATTTGATTAGATTAAGTCATAGTTTAGATAGAGAGCTGAAGAGTAAAGCTGATGACATGAGAGCTAAGGTTGCCAAGTATTGAGAGGGAGTGAAGAACATAAAACAGGTTTCTGTTTATTGCTTATGTCTTTGATCCGAGTAAGAAAACGTAATTTGATAAGATGTACTTTGATAAATGTATGAAAAAAAAACAACTGAAGCTAAGTAAATGTATCAGTCAGTTCATGATGTTATGACTGATATGATTAAGGAGTACACTGCTCGTTATAAAAAAATAATCAACAGAGACGTCATCTCAGTCCACTCAAGCATCATCATCTACTGGACAAGATCAAGGTTTAGGAGATTCGGTTGAAGAATGGATTTGGCTGATTTCGGTTATGAAAGGATGAACTTTTCTTACACTGAGATGGTTTCTAAAATTGGAGTTGAATAAATTGGAGTTGTATTCGAAGGAGAAGGTATAGAATCTAAAGACCCTTCTTGGAAGAGAGTATAATGTGTTGTTTTGGTGAAGGCTTAATAGTCTCAAGTACCCGATCCTGTAGAAATGGCCAAAGATGTACTTGCGATGCGAGTGTATTATGTTGCATTTAACATTGCTTTCAGCTCAAAGGGTCGAATCACAGATCTATCTAGGGGTACTTAACACACTATATGATTGAGGTCTTAATGTGCACAGAACAATGGATGAAGGCTAATATTAAGCTAAGTTAAAAACGTGTTGTGACCAAGGCAATGCTCAATTGCTTGCTGATTTTGAGTTGCATGAAAAGTTAGAAAACGGTACACAATTCTTACTTGGCTTATAAATTCTAGTTTTGATATTTTAGACTAATAATACATTTTATTATATATATATTATTTATATTTGTAACTACATTTTCTTATATTTCACAGTTTGAAACTCCATTCAATATGGACTAGAAGTCTCTGAAGCAGCTTGGATGCATTATGGACATGGAAAAAAAAAGGAGGGAATGAAGAAGTTGGTCCGAAGCAGTGTCGGCTCTGATACCAAGTGAAGGAAGCTCCAGCTTCTGGCCCAAGAAAATATAAGGTATTTTCCGGCCATCAATTAGCAATTATCCTTTATAGCATAGTGGTAGTGTTAACAGAATTCTTGTTAGATGTTCTGCGTTCAAGTCTCATCCTTCACATAAGCTTTTTAAATTTTAATTAACTGCCCATAATTTTGTGTGGGCTTCTGGTCTTAATATTTACCGGATCGGTACTGGTCCAAAGCTATGTTATGTTGTTTCTGTTTATGTTTTGGGTCGACGATCTATTTTTTCACGAGAAGTATCATATAGCACCAAATACACACCAAACTAAAACCTAGTGCTAAATATCCCCGAACAAAAAGTTCGAAACCTATATCTCCTTCAATTTAAACTTTACAACTTCAAAACACACATAATCAAATTTATTGGTTATTATTTACAAACCAATGATAAATCAATAAACCTAATCTAAACCAAACAAAACTCTAATCCAACTGAACCCAAACCAAAAACTGACCCGAACCACCTATCTTCTTCTTTATCTCCAATTTATGTTTCCATATATTTGGTTAACAAAAAATTGAATCTAAATGACTAGACAAAAAAACACAAACAAACAAAGTCACACATCTGCTTCGATAATAACGAACACGAAATTGATGAAACATAGATGAATTCAAAAATATAATCTACATCCCACAATTTTGCCTAAATTCTTTTTTACGTTTAAGCCATGAAAAAACCTTATCTGTCTCCTCTCCTCTCATACCTTCACTCGTTTCTTCAAAACTCACATGTGCATGTTCTCTTTCTTTTATTAAACCCAACAATCTCTCCCCAAACTCACCAACCCCAGTACAGCTCCCCTAAGAATTTATTTGTCTTCATCAAGATTCACAAATGCTTCTGTTGAGATTTCGCAGACATAAGAGGCATCTATTCACAGCGCAGGATATGTCGTCGTAGGTCTTCTCTTTTAAAAGGAATCGTCTTCCTCACATGTTAAATTTAGGCATGGGAAGAAGAAGAAAAGAGGCGGGGAGATAATTTTTTGGGTGGTGAATTTGTTTTGGTTGGTTGGGTTTAATTGTATTGTGACTTAATTTTGGTTTAGTATCATATTTAAATGGTTGATGATTAATATGCAGATAGTAAACCAATTTTATTTCGGTTTATGTGTTCTACGATTTAGAAGTATGAGTTTGTGTGTTTTAACGTTGTAACTTTTAAAATGAGGGACATATAGGTTTCGAACTTTTTGTTCGGGGAGATTTAGCACTAGGTCTTAGTTTGGTGTGTATCTGGTGCTATATGATACTTCTCGTGGGGAAATAGATCGTCGGCCCTTATTTTTTTGATGCTGGTTTTATTCTTGCTTGCTTTGCTTGTTTAACATTTCAATTCTAAATTTTATGCTTGTTTGGATGTTTTTAACTATGGTGTTTGTTATGCTAAGTTGATTATGGTTTCTTTGATTTGGTCTTAGTTTATGATTGTTAAGAATTTTCCATTTATAGTTGTATTTTAAATAGATCTGAGTATTGGATTTTACGGATAAGTTCGGTTCCATCGATTAAATTTTGAGTTCATGACAAAGGAACCGAACGACTCTAATAAAAATTTCGGTTATTTGGGATGTAACCATTCCGAACCGTAAACCGTATCCAATCCGTATTTTTATAATACCCAAACGGTATCATTTTTTCCCATATTCGATATAAACCGAGATCCGATATATCAGATCCAGATCCCAACCAGTATCCAAATGTCCATGGCTAATCATATGTCACTGTTGATCTGAAATGATTGATGATTCGCATTGTTAAGTGGAAATTGGTTGAGAGCGTACATACGCTATTACACAACAATCAAATTCTCCAATCCAAAGTAAACAAAATTTTATTATAAAGCGTACAACATGGTCATAATGAACAACGTAATCTTGACGATTACTATATAGATTTTTCTCCGTCACTTCTCAAAAGGTACTTTGGTTTATGGACCTCTCCCTCTACGTGATTTAGAGGGCGGCACGTACATAGGAGCGGTGGGAGGGAGAGGGGAAGGGGACTCCAGAACCCGTTCTTGACCTGCACAATTAGCAATATATATATCACACACAAAAAAGTTACAGGCACAAGTTTAAAAAAAAATATAGCTAGTAAAGTCGTCATTTGAGAGGTTTATATGATATATGTAAGCTTCTTTTTTCCAGAAAAAAACATTGAAACAGCGAAAGCATGAGCTTGAATATGTTTACTAACGTAGGTTGCGTTTGCCATCGGTGACTTTAACTTGAAAGGAGATCAATAAGATCAGAAGAAGCAAAGAGAGAACAAAACCAACTAATTGAGGTGTCTTGGTGGTAGCCATTGATTAAGATAAAACACTCGACTCTCCATCAATTCCATATATAACAAGACAAGCTCATGCTATGTAATCCTTTCTTTTTCTTTTTTTTCAAAAAAGCTCATGTGAAAGTATGAAAATGAAACATCGTTGAAATTGTAGTACTCACCTACTACACTTGTTATTTTAAAATTCTCTATAGATCTGTGACATCTGTCTGATAGTTGACTAATTTACTTCTTGAACACAGCTACAAAATCGGTTACAGTCCATATACCGGTTCAAGACTAAGTCGCAGCAGTATCTTTCCGGTTATTCAATCTCAAGGCGAACTTGACTTGAATCAGTAACATGGGGCTCTACAGTGTAAAAAAAAGACCAAAACTTTCATCATCCTTAAAGAGACAAAACGAAAATTATGAATGTTGAACAAATCAATAACAAGATCCAAGCCCCACCACCACCTGTCTTCTCTGCTCGTCCTGTCCCTATACCGACCAAAACTGCAATAACCGCGATAGTTCCAAAACCTATACACACCGTGAACACTATCAAACCTTTCTTCTCCATCCACTCTAGTCTTTGCCACACTTCTTCAACCCTTTTACTCACCTTTTCATTCTCTTTCTCAGCTCTCTCCATCTCTCTCTCTACTCTCTTTCCCCACTCTTTCATCTCTTCTGCTTCACTAACCATTATCTCTTGTCTCGTCTTAATACCTTCCACGTCAAGTCTCAAAGTCGCAATTGTCTTTTCTCTCACACTGGTTTCGTGGTCCATCTCCTTGAATATGTTGCTGTATCTCGTGTTCAGTTCCTCTAGGTATCTCTCTAGAACTGATAGGTTCACGTCTAATGACCTTAACTTCTGCATCAGAATCTTCAGCACTGTGTCTCCAGGCATTCTGCTTCCTGGCTGATGATGCCGCCTTACCTCTTCCACTGGCTCTGTAACCTTATTATTACTACTAGCCATTGATGCTTCAACTTTTGCTATTGTATTCTCTGGCGAGGTGTCCAGTTCCTTTTCTCTCTCTGTGGAACCATCATCTCCTTCAGAGGACTCTGCTTGCTGCTTTATTGGCTTCTCCTTGTGCTCAGATTCTCCCTCTCGGGTGTTGAATATCTTTTTGTTGTCTTCCACAGATATTAAATCCTCCAGCATTCGTTCTACGGCATCCACTCCGTACACTTCTACTAAACTCAAGGTGCAGTAGAATTCTGAACCATAATGGCTTAGAAATTTAAGCTTCAAGTATCTCACCCACTTTGGCTCCACTAGTGTGAAGTTCTGCTCTTGCTTAAGATTTGCAGCTGTGAAGTTACCCATGTGAACCCATGTGTCAGTCGGATAAACCAAGGTGCCTTGAAGCTCAAACTCTTTTAAATTGGACGAGTAATGCTCGAAATTGGCGATCTTGATGGTGTTGACCAATGTTTCTTCTGAGAGTTCAATGACAACGTATTTACCTTCAGCAGAACAGGGATTCCTGAGGTACTTGTCGTTGTCCCGGCTTAAAATGCTTGTAGCCCCCTTTGCTTCCTTGTTAGAAGACAGGACCTTGGCTCCTTTTGAAGCAGATGCATAGTTATACTCTTTCCCTCCAGGCTCCATCCTGTGAGTGACACCACTGACCTGGCTTGATAACGATTTGTTTCTAGAATAAGAGGCTCTGCTCTTAAACTCATCAAGGCCAAGCGGAACAGCACGATCAACCTTTGAAGCAGCATTGCTCTCTGCTGTATCATTCCTTTGATCAGTTTTGTTAATAATCTGATTTGGGTTCAAAGACTCAATTCCTTGAGTTTCTGTATCGTTGGCTGTCTGACTTTGCTTCAGAATCGCATGGTCTTTGTTCTCTGTATCGTCTGTCTTGGTCGTCTGTCTTTGATTCGAAAACTCATTGCCTGTGTCGTTCCCTGTGTTTGTTTGACTTTGGTTCAAGAACTCAACAACGTCTTTGCCCTGTGAATCATTAGATGAAATACATGTCTTGTTCATCTCACTTTGCTTGGAAAAGTCAGCATCTTTGCTTTCTGCATCTGTCTCACCACTTTGACTCGAAAAACCAAACAACACTTTGCTTTCTGTAGTATCAATCCTTGAAACAGCGCTACTGACCTCTGCAGACTTTTCTTGGTCTTCAGACGGAGGAGTTAAACCATCGTTGTGGCTCATGAAATCAGATGATGTAGCATGAACAGAATGAGGCTCTAGTAATGGCAAAGGCACAGCAGTCTCATCATATGTACCACCACCATCAGGATCAGGATCAGGAACAGAGTCAATCAAAGAAGAAGCATCTTCTGCAAGTACACACACATGAGAGTTTGGTTCTTAATATGCTGCTGCTTTAGGTAAATCTCTCTCTAATGAGTTAGTTGATCATCCTCCACAGAACTCTAAAAGAGGAGGTTTTTGGTTAAACTATTTGTCTACATTATTACATTTAAAAGAAAAAATAAAAGGAACATTACCTTGACCAACATCTCCATGGGTAATGAAGAAGAAGGAGGAGAGGAAAAGAAGAAGCCAAAGGAGAAAGACAAGAGAGAGAGAGACTTTGAAAAAGCTCTTCTTCTTCATCCCATTATTAGAATTGTTGTCAGAAACTCCTCTTCTTCTACCCAGAAGAGTTTGCATTGCACATCCAAAAGCCAAGAGATGATCAAAGCAGTAAGTAACAAACAACAGATCACAATACAATACGCACCCCTGTTATATACACACACATATATATTATTTGATTTGCAAAATAATAATAGAAAAAAGAAGGCTAAAAGCAAAGACACAATACGCAAACTACTGAAAAACAAGCTGCAAGATCTGACGAGTTATTATTATTATTTTTTTTTTTTTTTAAAAAGATGATCACAGAAGCTCTGGGGGTAAAAAAGAATGACCTGAGAGAGAGAATCGAAGATATGATGATGAGCTTAGAGGATTGTTCGGTACGATTTTAACCGCCGCCGATTAGGATTCAGTGTGGGAGAATGATCAGAAGCGTAGACGAAAAAAAAAAACAAATATCTGTCTCTAAGGGAATCTCTATTAAACGTCTACGCCACGCAGAAACACTAACAACACGAGATGTAAACGGTTTTGCACCGTGAAAAACAAAAAAAAAAGAAAGAGTCAAAAGCGACTTGAAACTGATATCATCGGCGATTCGAGCAAGAAGAAGAAGACGACGAAGATGACTTGTTCCCAATTTTTTAGATTTTTCTTTTTAATTTTTTTTTTTTGTTTTTTCAAGAGTAAAAAATACTCTATTGATTCTTTTTGTAATTCCCAAATATTGTGCTAATTGTCCACTACTTGTTTTTTTTATTAAATTAAATTAAATTCAAGTCCCTCTCTGTTTCTTAATATGAATAATATTGTATTTTTGTTTCAAAATATAAATAACTGAGTGCAATTTTTATATTTACTGAATAACAAAATTTCTTAATAATAATAATGTTTTATAACTGACTATTTTGTGAAAAATGTTTTATAACTGACTTACACTTTAGAAACAAAAAGAGAGTATTGTTTTCCTCCTGCTCAAGCTCCTAGATTTATGATGACAATAAACTTCTACAATACAAGTTCCTACTATCTTTAACATCCTCAACTACAACACAATCTTGAGTGAGACAATCAATGAGGGAAATTTTTGATTTTTTTGGACGAAAATAAGCAGGTATATTCTGAAAGCGTTAAGTAGTTATAATTCTTCTTTCATTAACCAAAAAAAGTGTGTATTGCGTGGGAAGAATGTGAACTGATTGAGAAGAATGCTTATGCCACCCACTAGAATAATAACATATTACGAAATCGTATTTGATGATTTGGAATTATTAGGGGTAAAATAAAGCCAAGAAAAGAGGTAAGGTCCCACGAGGTTTGATGAGCTGTGATTGTGCGGTTGCGGCGCGTTAACGTGATTGCCAGCTTGGACTTGTTCCCTTCTTCTTGAAGGATGTATAAATCTCAAAGACAAAAGGTCCATTATTCTAAATTTGTCGGTTTAATCCGGTTTTCGGTTTGACTAGGATCATTGGATCAAATGACAATTTACGAAGATTTGACTTAATTAAAACTACGATCAACTATTCAGGAATTTATGGAATCACAAAGATTAATTCACAACATAAATAAAACTCGTCGCTTGCTTCTATTTCTTTCTGATCTCACTAATTCCTTAGCCAAGAGGCAAAGATGGGCTTTCTAAATAATTCCATTATGTATGGACCTATAAGCCCATTAATGTTTATATTTGAATAACCTTAAATCGTTACTGCTTTTCTCGCGCAGGCTGTTAGACTAAGCACTAAATTACCTTTTCAGTTTGATACCAATTATCAATTATCAAACTTATGGGGGTCTCATATGGATCACTATATAACACGTTCAAGAGATTCAGCCGCGAATCTCCATTTTGAGATTTTGCTACGAATATAAAATGTACGTTGTGGGAAGAGAAAATATGTTTTTGCATACTTGTTTGCTTATCTTTAATGCAGTTCCCCATTCAATACAGAGCCGCTTACAGTGATCCCCTTTTATAGACTTAATGTTGTCCACAGGAATTGAATTGATTTGATACATAAGATGGTTACTATCCTATAATATCGCAAAGAATGTGTATAAGTATAAAATCAATTTAGGAGGAGATATTATCATATGACTAATCGACATACGATTTTTCTTCAGAACATGTATATATAAAATGCAAGAGAAAATATTATGTACATGAAAACGATAATCATCTCCTACATATAACATACCATTGCACTCACTGCACAGAAACTCGAATTTAAATCTATGATAAAAATACCGACAAGATTTAGAGTTGGCTATTGAAGAAAAATAAAGAGTAAAGATTCAGAGAGTTTAGAGAAAGAACCTGTGGCTGTGATGTATAATAACTGATGGTGGAATTTCTAGCCTGAAGAATTAACAAAACAAACGACCAACTCACTCGCTCTGCTAATGTTTTTTGACCAAACCCAACAATGTTCTCTCTCAACCAACGATTTCATCACAAAAGATCCAACAGCGATGGCTGCTCAGTTTGTTGCTGCTTCGAACCACTTGACCTTGAGGTAGATGTCCCAGTTCTACCCCTTCCCCTTCCTCTTCCCACTGCAGTCGAAGGTGGTGGTGCGAGTTTCATTGCAGATTGCTCAGTTTTGCTTGACTTGAATATGGAACTGATATCTGCTGGCGGCTTTTGGTTACTGTATGAACTGCTTCCGAAAGACAACGGCATTCCTTGGTTCTGATTTTGAAGCCCAAAAGAGTTCATAGGATCTTGGCTACTTGCACTGATACCTAAACCCTCTTGCTGTGATTTCAAAGAAGGGACGGAGGCATTGCCAAAGGCCCAGAAGTCGTTGTTAGCTGTTGGAAACTGGTTCATGTCTGTTATATTGTTACTCAAACTAGAACCACTGTTGTTGTTCAGTGGAGGTGGTCGAGTGGCGGTGGTACCGTTGTGGAAACCTCCAGAAGCAATGGAATCACTGTTGGCTCGTGGTGGCCAATTAGCAAAAGGGTCTAGTTCATCAAAACTCGGAGTTGATGATGTTCCTCCTGAGTTTAGCCGGGCCTCGTCATTAATTGGCTGAGAACTGACATTAGAGGATTGTCTTGGTGGCCACTCTATATCAACTGGAGCGCATGTCGTTGGCACTGTTGTCCTGTTTGATGGCTGTGGTTGTGGCTGTGGCTGAACTGTAGAGTTGTTAATCTGAGAGTTTGCAGGTCCAGTATCTCTTGAAGCAGAACTTTTGGTCGGGATGGCCCAGTCTTCATCCCATGCAGGACTGTTCTTTGCTGCAGAAGCAACCTTCTCAATTTTTTGGGTTGGTGCTGGACACTGGATCCTATCTGCAAAAGAGCCTGGTTTAACTTCTGGAACTCCAGAATCATTGACTGTAACTCCCCTTTTCTCCTCTATTTTCCTGTTCCAAGACCAAACCATAAACAAACCGTATGTTAAAAACAAAAACAACAGTGTAGGCAGTTGTAAGGGGGATAAGGACTTCGAAACAGAGACGGGAGAGCTCGGAGGCACACCTGAGAATATCCTTGACAAATAGCATATATTTAGCAAACTGTTGGACGTTCAATTGTTGGGCAGTGAGAAGCGGTATAATCAGAGGAAGCACGTGTTCAGCAGTGAATTCAACTCCATACTAAAGAAAAATTATGGAGAGCCACAGGTAAGTCATCTTATACGCTACCACAGGTATAAAAGCAAATTAAAATTATTGACACAAGTAAGCTATTTTAGCCACCTGCTTGAGAATTGCGTTAGCGACTGCAAGAGTACACATAAGCGTAGGTGCAGAACGATCCACAGCAGTACAGCGTTGAATTGTTTGCAAAATTTCAGCAACAGCTTGTTTGTCAAGCGCTTGAACCAACTCTGCTAAGCAGAGCAAAGCATTTACTCTTACCTGCACCACACAAACGTTCTTATTAAAACTTAGATCTAGAAGATGGAGCTCTCATTTAATCTCTCTATTCTTTAGAGGACACAAATATTGAATTAATCAAGGCTAACATACGGCAGCGACTGTAGTCTTGAGAGCCAAGCCATGAACACGAGGCAAAATTGCTTGCCTTACGACCTGCAAAATTAAGTTGGAAAAAAATTCAGAAAGAAATCACCAATGCAAACAACCGAAATTATCTTGCAGAACCAAAATTTAAATGTATGTGAAATTATGCTTGTGTAAGCCACACATCAATCCTGAAGCTTGTACCATCCATAATGGATGATCCATTCAGATGAAACTCATCTATAACATATAAAAAACGAAGCATCACCTGACCATCAAGTTGTTTAGCAACAGATGTAGATCTTTTCAGAACTTCCTCCTGTATCCGGACATCGTTGTCATTGTAGGCTCGGAGAAGCAAAGGGAGGACATGTGATCCAAGATGCTCTGCACTAGTCTAAAATACAAAAGCACACTAGTAAAAGATCTGAGGGCGTAAGATAATACGAAAATGGAGAAAATGATTCCATTTTTAAGCTTTTTTAGGATTGGGGAAAATAAGCTAACTGCAGTAGCAATATGGATCAGATTCAGATGTGGCGGTCTTGTACTAGTTTACGGCTCACAGAAACAATGTTTGGTTGTGGCACTACTATTTATATAAAATTCCAAGTAATGGCACTCGATATTTCATAGGGAACAATACTTTACACATTAATTCATTTACACCTTTCCAAAGTGCCAAATCAGTAGAACCTAGCAGACACTAATGCAAGATTCAAAAGCATAACTACAGTTTTCAATACATACAGGTTAAAGTTTTACCTTGTTAATTATAAGCTCTGCACGCTTTACAAGCAACAGTAGAGTATCACCCGTAGCAGAACTCAAAACAGGAACAAGAGCTGGGAGCGTTGTCAACTCAAAGTCATTCTTATCCTGCAAATTGTAGTTTAAGGGTCAAGCATTCATTGAAACATGATAGAGATTCCAGAAAAATCCTTGTCAGAGGTCAATGTGAAGCAACTTCCAAGTTTTTCTATAGATGACAGGTTGATAAATAGCCGATATCTATTTGTACAATTGGAAAGAGAGTTTAAGTATAGGTCATAAAACACAAGTAAGAAGAGAAAAAATAATATCTTGAACCAGTGGTATCTATATATCTCAAAGAAATGAGGAGCAAAATGCATAGAAATCTAATTGACCTAATGCAAGATACCCAAGATTAGAAAAATCACCTGAGACTCTGCTATAGTGAGAACCATAGGAAGAATCACTGGCTGCATAACCAAATTCCTAAGTTCAGCACAAAGAGGCGGAAGCACCTGCGTAACAAAACCTAGTTTGATTACCTGTAACAAGGCAAAGCACTTGAGCAACTGATTTCTTTTTCTGTGACTACCTTATACCGCAATACACGGGAATCAAAATCTTTCCACATATCTGACAATGCTTTTAAGAACTCAGACTTTTGCATGTTGTCTCGTTCCTGCGATAAATAAAAACATCCCCCAGAGGTTATATATATTTCCAACAACCTAGAGGATGTCTGTCTTAAACGATGTTTGAAAGTGTATATTACATACAAGCATATGATCAAGAAAACGGAGGGCACGTAACCTAGTGTCGCTCCGGAAAAAATTAGATCCTGCAGGTAAAAGGTCAAGTCTAAGATGTAGCTGCACAAACAACGAGATAAATCATTGTCAGCAGAAACAATGAAGATTCAGTATTCATACCTGTGAAATCCAATGCTGTAGGTCTAAAGGACTCGTTCGTTGATAGCATCCGTTGCAAATCAGATACCAAGTCCGAGGGTATAGATGAGAAAGTTTCATTTGTTAAATAGTTCAATGTATTCATGTACTGCAACAAAATTGCAACGAACTATCATCAGCGATGGAAGAGGCAGATATCCTACTAAAGCACTCAATATAAATGGAAACCAGTTCTGAGGCGTTTTTGTTGAAGATTAAACTAATAAGCTTGGGAATTAGAATTACCATCTTGACATTGTTGTGGCAATCAAACAATGGTTTCCGTGCAACTAAATGATAGGCGAGGCAACCAAAACTAAAAATATCTGAAGAAGCTCCAGCTGATGGAGTTTTGCTCCGCACCAATTCAGGTGCAGTATAGTTTAAAGATGGTTGAAGTGGCAAAATCGAGTCTTCAACATCATATTCCTGCATTCACAGAAAAATACAACAGTCATAACAACATCATACCATGCATATATCTAGTAACCGATGATGAGTTTAAGTAAACTCACAGCGTAGTGGAATGATTGCATATTATCCAAATTCCCAGCCTGTGCTTGTGAAATAGCAAAGCCAAATCCAGCAAGCTTCCAGGAACCAGCCGAAGTAATAAGAACATTCTGCAATAACGTATATGATGGAATCAGCTTCTAAAGAGATGAACAAGTAAAAGTTCACTGAAACAAACCTCGGGAGAAACAGCACGATGTACAAGATGTGCGTTGTTATGAAGAAAGTTCAACGTCTCCGCCATTTGAAGGAGACCATGCTTCACCTCCAACAAACTCATCTCCTGAAACAAACAATCATCATAGTAAACATTATTAAAACTAACAATCTTGCAGTCAATAACTGGGTAGGAGGTGGACAAAACGGACCATGGACTTGAGATCTTTGGGCACGTGATCCACATTCTCAACATCTCCAAGGACGTTAGCCACGGATGCGAATAACGGTTCCGTAACCATAGCCATAGCATTCTTGTTCTCGTCAAGCGCTTGAACCACGTGGACCACACCGGGGTGTCTTAACCGCACAAGCTTCCCCGCGTCAGCGCGAATCAGATCGAGAAACGAGTCTTCCGCAGCTTTGGATAATCCCCCCGCCCTGGCACGAGCCTCCGACAAGGCGCGTTTATCAAGTACCCAGACGCAGACCGTGGGGTACTGCTGTGGCCGCGTGGAGTCACGCGCCTTGGCCGAGTAGAGCTTCCAGGCGAGCCCAGGGCCACCGGAACCGATCTGATGGAGGAGCTCGTAGTCCTGAAGAGCCTTGGGACCTGTAACTTCCTGGACTGTGGTTTGAACCTTCTTCTCAATCACCGCCGCGGTTTTGGCTAGAGCTTGGGTTAGCGTTCTCATGTTTATCGACATTTTCGCCCGAATTAACTGTTCGCTCGAACTTTTACGCGACGACGACGGCGAGAAATAGTGATCGGAGGAGAGAAGCGAATTCGATTAACGAAGCGAAACGGAATCTGTCTGTCTTCCGATGAAAGCAGAATTGAAGATCGTCTTCTTCCCGTGAGTTGATTTTTCTTTTCTTTTTTCGTCCCAGATTTTTTTTCCTCTTAATTTATTATTTTCATTTATTAGACAAATAGGTCCTTCGTCTTGATAAAAAGTAACGACAAGGTATTATACAAAATTATTTGCCTATTTTAAACTGTCACAAAGGCAAAAATGCCCCTATATAACTCCAACATTTACCACTAATCATTGCAGGAAGAGTCTATTGAAATATTGCAGATATGAATCTCTCTCCACAAGCCAAGAGACGAACTTCATGAAGCTAATGTCAATATCTCCTTATGTTGTTCTCTAGTATCTGTACTGTACAGGCTTCTCTGTGTTTGTCAGAGATTAGAGATCATCATTTTTAAAACAAGACAGACGGCTTCTGCTACCGGTTCACTAACCAACCGGGTTTTATCAGAGCATCTCGCTTGAAGTCACGGCCAGTTACTGACTTTGATTCACCAAGGCGTCGGTAACACTGTGAACAAGAACAGTAGCCTCAGAGGAATGCAAGTATTGTTGCAAGAGATGTAGGTAGCTAGGTTGCGGACTAACCTTATAACACACAATCGTATCATCAGGGTACATAGCAAATAGCTTGGTTCCCAAGCGGGCGAAGCAAGAATCACAGAGGCTCTCGTCAGTTATCTGCACGTGACGTGATCTTTCTTCTAATCTTGCCAGCCTTGAATCCACATCCAATGCACGAGAGACATTGTGTACGATCTGTAGCAATTGACTTGACAACATTCAGACACTAGAGCGTCACGCACACCACCATACAAGCACAGTAACAATTTATTGAATGCTACTTCACTGATGACTTCTTAGGCTGTAACTGTGCATGTTACTCTTTCTAATGTAGCATTTGACAAGAGAACACAGAACAACAGTAGCAGACACGATACACGGATATTTGAAAAAAAAAAGAAAAGGATTTGTGAATTTACTTGGCCTTGACGATGATGATGAACCCGAGCCCTCAGCATTCTCAAAATTGTATCTGACGCCAGTTTTAAGGGCATGTCAGGAGACAGTTTCTGGAAGAAAGAAAAAAAACATGATATCAGCACACTATCAAACCAGTGTTGATGAACTAAGAAATGCAAACGCTGTAGGATAAGAAGCATTATCAGCTTCATTAACCTATGGACTGTGAGATTTCTTACTTCCAGAACTTGCAAAGGATCAAGTGATTCCCCATGGTTGTGGAGAAGACGAACAGCAGCTTTGAACATAGGCTCTTTACCATTTTGAGGATCCAGGTACATATCAAGTAACCTAACATAACTTTCTTTTATAAGGGATTGTAACTAGGAAAAGAGGAATTCGAGTAATGGGATCCACACAATAAGGCTTTTAGATTAAATTGAGATAAAGAACCTACTGCATAAATGCATCTGGTCTTCCAATCTCTACACAATATTGCTCTGCCGCTGCACAATCCTCAAGCTTCCTGGTTCCCATGACCAAAGATCTTGTCAGTAGTCATATATTCAGAATCACCACACACTGTATAATGTCTCAAATCTTTGATTAACAATCATCAACTGTTCAACTTCGTTATTAATGAGAACTTACAGAGCAAGAATTTGAAGGACCACTGTCTCCTGTCCTATCCTTCGGTATAGGATGGCCTGCCAAAAGAATTTCAACACATATATCAGAGGATAAAACAACAAGATCTCAAATGTTTCGACAATAGAAATTTATTGAACAATCATAGGTGCCACTGCTTTTACACACATAAAACGAAAGAAACAAATTTGACCCACAAACCTTTTCCAACCACAGTTCTGATCCTTCAATCAAATTCAATATTTCTTCAGGGTCATATAGATCTGAAGATTGCAAAAAGGTCTGCAATCTTTCCCGCACATCACTTTCAAACAGAGAAATACTTCCTACATTGCAATCATGTGCCTCTCTGCCTCTAGCATCAGTTTCTAGGTTACCATTTTGAATTTCAACACACTCAAGTGCTGACTTGGCAAGTGAGAGAGCATATGATGTATGCAGCTGCGGGTCATTATAGTCTCTATCTTCAATCAACCATTGGAGGTACCTAGCCCATACATAAAATGCGATGAGAAGAAAATTTCAAAAAGTTACCAACTTCGCTACAAAAAAAACTTTGGTCATCCATTCATTTACTAGTTAATAATACGATTTAAGAAAAAAGTCACTGGGATGAAAACTATTTAAGGTTCAAGTAAACTATACCTCTGTATGATTTCAACTTTTTGGGGATCAATAGCTTGGATCACTTTCTCTGCAACAAGATAAAGAAACAGAAACCTTACATCAACAAAATAATCTAGTGTTTTATCAACCACTATACAAATAATGTCATATGCCAAGCCACTCAAAAACAAATAGCCAAACCAAAGCCAAGAAAAAAACAAAACTGCCTACTGTGAGGGACATCAATAGACAAATAAGCAGATTATGGACTGTACTGAGATACAGCACACTAAAGACATAAGAATATGTGCATCCATACATTATGTTACCCTGAACCAAAAACAGTCTTGGACTTCTGGCATTGCCTAAGTTTTCTGAGACTTCAGCTAAGCCATTATTTATCAATACAAGTCCAACATAGATGACAGTTCGAAACCCAAGAAACAATTGACAAGATGTTTCTAATAAGAACGAAAAGAGATCTAACATCCGACTCACAATCAAACACAAATGTCCTGATAACCATGATTCCCACCTGGCAAAAGCTCTTCCGTCCTTTTATCTGACGTCAAGACTTGAATAGCGAACAATGGGTTTATATCTGAAATCTATAATTGAAATCCACAATCATCAATTACATTCGCAAAATGCAAATAATAGAACTGAAAAAGTCACAAGAAGTTGGGGTTATATCATATATATCTCATACCCAACTAAGATGCTGCAGTGCCAGTTCTGGATCACAGGGTTCCTCAAGAATCCTGGCTGCTTCTGCAGCAGCAGCTTCTTTTCCAGATAGCCTAATGAGCTCATTTTCGTGTAGATAAGGCACCAAGTCATCTGAGTCTTGCCACAGACCAGATGAATAATTCTTCGCAAAGAGACGCCAAATAGCAAGAGCCTTTGCACTCATCCCCTTACTTGCATATAGGAATGCAAGTGTCCGAAGATGTTCAGATTCATTTAGAAGAGTCTCCAACTCCTCCTACACCGCCCACACAAGTTGTACAGTCATTCCTCAAGCAACTTTCTTACAACAAGCTCTCTATTTTTCAATGCTTTGTAAGGCTACGGATCCAAAAAAAGGGCAATGTCCTCATGGTACATTAACATAAATTCTGGACACTAGTTAGAATCAAAACTACAGTACATCATCCTAAGGAGGTTGTCATCGATGTACTTCTTTTGACCACAGTAGTTCACTAAGCTACCCTGGGCTAACATACTGCAAAGCAGGTACAAGTACAATACATGATAAGGGCCCCTAGAGACCTAGGCACTAAAAGATTTTTCTCTCTTTCTAACCAAGCTATAGCTGTCTTAAATATTTCTGTCAAATAAATAGAAAGCTAGATCCAATTTACCGATTACTTACATTTTCAGTTGTTAATTTCTAAAACAACGTACCATTTGATGCTGTATGCGTGTGAAAAATATAGGCACTAAAAGACATACCACAACACAGTTGTTAACAGAAGATGCAAGATTCTCCATATCTTCCACACGGTTTAATGCTCTATACAGAAGCATTAGAAGCGTGTCTATTCCCTCTCTTACTGGGTGAGTTAAGTCCTTCTCACGTGAGACCTCGAGGTACCTTTTGCCACAGGTAACATTAAGTCGTTATATGCCAATTTCCACCTCAGAGAACAGGGGTATACTAGAAAAACTGTTGAGGAAAAAGTGTACGCAAACAGAAATTGAAGCACCTTGTCATGTTTTTGATTGCTGACTCTAATAAATCAGCCCTACTTGGAGGGTTTGAGGAAAACTCTTCGTCAACCGGAGTGTCCATTCCCGCTTTTCTTAGGAAGATAGCTCTCTGGATGGCCGCCAACCCATTATCTACAACATCTTCAAGAGGAGCAGGAGGGGGATGCAATCCCCAGTATCTGTTTCTCGGAACCTGAAAGAAAGTGAAAACCTTGTTGAATCAGAAAGAAGTTTGATCAAGGCTTGAGACATCATAAATTGTATGGTTGCGATGTCTTTAGTAAATGAATTGTTTAGAACAAATTCAGAGTAGAACACAAGTATCCACTGACAGGAGAACAAATATACCTGCAAAGACCATCGATTAGGATCTCGCATGATAAAAGGAAAAACTTCAGAAGGTTCCATGCTTTCTGACTTTAAAAATTGATTCACTGCTTCCTCAAAGCGCAAGTCAAATAGTAGTAGATACCCTATCTGAGCATGAAGAAAAGAAAGCATATCTTTCGAAATTTCCCCCTCTAAGTCAAGCTCCTCCACCAGGGAGATGGCTTCTCTGTATCTTTTTTTCCTCAAGAGGTCTTTAATCTGTTCTTCATAAGGCACTCTACGATAAAAGATAACCTGAAACATCACAACCAAGAAGTCGACACAATACTCATGACCATTTCATCAACAAGAAATACTTAAAGAGAATTGAAGAAAGCCATTATTGAGCTAAGTACCTTTGACATTGTAGTAACAGCCAAAAGGTTCCCATCTCCTGCCTCATCAACTGCCAAAACCGAAGGCCCACACCCTTCAGGACCAAACCCAACTGACTGAACACAAGCACCGGACTTGTTCTGATGTATCTCCATCTTCCCATCCCCTACAGTAACCAAATAGAAAGACAACTCTCCAACAGAATCAGGCCTCCTACGAAACACAAGACTCCCACCAACCGGCTGACCATTGGTATCCACAACAACTCCAACATTATCCACCAACAACAACACCTTCCACTCTTTACGCAACAACTTAAGCAGCGGGGGAGCAGAGACATCAGGCAAGGTGAATATCACCCCACTTTGACCAGTAACACAAGAAATCAAACTATAGCCATTATCAGTCCCGGCAACAACATAATCATCAACCCAAACCAAACTCTTGACCCCACCACCAAAAATCCCCACAATCTCTTTCAACACAACAAAGGAATCACCTTTCCCATCTTCAATCTCAACCAACAAAATCCTCTCCCCAATCGCAACAGCGAAAACACAGCCTCCATCATTCCCTTTAACACCACTAACCCGATTCCCACCGCCAAGCATCTGAAGAAACTTGTTGCTGGAGCTAGACTCATCTGAAGAAGAAGGTAACAAGTAGTCAGCACTACTCGAGTCCTCCCTCCTCGCTCTCTTAGCCACAACATTGATCCCTTTCAACAACCCACCCAATCTCTTAGCGGGTTGAGATAAAAGCGAATCCACAAGAAACAGGAAGCCGTTACAGAGCGCTACAACTTTCCCTCTTCCGTCGCCAAGTACGAAGATAGACTCGACCGGAGAGGCGCTGAGCGATACGGTGGTTCCGAGACGAGCGACGATGTTGGTTGAAGTGTCGAGGGAGAGGAGGAGAAGGGAGCCGGAGGAGGTGCCGATGTAGACTAGGGTTTGGGAATCGGAGTGTGGAGGGGAGAGGTGTAGGGATCGGATCTTGTCGACGCCGCCGAGGTCGTAGCGAGTAATGAGCTCTACGATTGATCGAGATTTCGCCATTAGTTAAAACCGAAGACAATGGCGGTGAAAACGGATTTTGAGGGGATTGAAAACTCCGGTGATCACCACCGATCAGTATCGCCTAACCGGTAAAGGTTGTTAAAGTAAGTCGGACATGTCGAGGAGTTCTCCTTTTGACTTCTCAGTAGATTTTCTTCGCTTTGTCTTCATGGAGTAAAACAGTGTCGTTTCAAATAATTTTTTTTCAAGATATTGGGCCGGACTGGGCTAAAACATAACATCAAACTCCATGAATAAGAGCCTACTTACAGAAAACAACAAGGATTTGTAAATTGGTTAGGTCCTCTGCTTGACAAGTCAGGTATTTTCAACATCTCTCCACTCGAATTTACAGAGTTATTACCCATATTTTATGGATTTTTTACTGTGGAAAACGAAATCTCTTCTCCAAATTCTAAGATTTTAGGGTTTTAAATGATGAAATTGATTTGGAGAATTTTAACAAGGTTTTATGTTGGGTTTTAATCGAACTCAACCGATACAAACTGATTTATCAGTTAATGTCATAAACCAATAAACCACTAAAACCAAGCCAAATTTTTATATGTGTGGAAATGGGTTTCTAATTTTTATCATGTGTAATAATAGATTGTTATACTTAAATTATGTGCAATTATGCTGAAATTGAAATATTCTATAAATTTATTACTATATGATAGTTCTTTGTGGAAATAAATCGTCATCCCGTCCCCTTTTGTAACTTGTCCAAAATTTAAGATTATAACTTCTCTATGATTTAGATAAAAAAAAAAAGATTCAGATTTTAATTTGCTAGTTTTATTGTCTTACACTCCCTCCCTTCATCCTTTGTTGTAAGTTAAGTTTGGTTAAATATACCTATACAAGAATATTTTATATAAACTACCTGTCCTACGGACAGGTGAATAAATAATTTAATTATTTTAACTAAAAATAGCATTGACATTGATAAATTTCCTACAAAAATTTTAACTATTTTTATAATAATTTAAAAATATAGTTATTTATTTTCTCGCAATGTTTATTCTAGCTTAACTATAACAATAAATAAATTATTTTCTTAGAATCTCTATAATATTATTTGAGAAGTCAGTTTCCTACATGTCGCGCTCACGTTAACTCTCGCGGTGGTTGATTACATAGATACCCTTAATAAATTGTTAGATTTTAAGATTATTATTAATTTTTATTTAGTTTCCTCTTTACCTTTTTCCAAATAACATATATAATGAAAAGGAAATATTTCTAAAATTTTAAAACAAATTTAAAAACGATAAAATATGTATATAATATGAGTTTATTAAAAAGGAAAGTTCACAAAATAGTAATACCCCCATTAATATATATTTTTGAATAACATAAAATATATTTTCAAAATAATGAAAATATATATGTTCATGAACATTCAAAAATTTATCAGTTACACTTTATTTTCTACTATTTTTAAGAAATCAACATATAATTTGATAAATATTATGAAAATACATGTAAATTTAAGCGATAAAACTTTATAATATTATTTGAGAATTCACTTTTTTATGTGTCGCGCTCACGTTAACCCTCACGCTGGTTGATTACTATAATACCTCTAATGAATTAAAAAATACATTTAAATATTATTATTTCTAATAAAAAAATTTCAAATAACAATATAAAATAAAAAAGAAACTTTAATAAACTTTGAAAAAACTATTTTTAAAAAAAATATAAGTATATATAAATATGGTTTCATAAAAAAGGAAAGTTCACAAAATAGCAATATTTAATTTAAATATATTTAAATAACATAAAATATACTTTTGAAGTAATAAAATACTTTATATCTATATCTTCTTAGATGAAAAACAATATTTGTATATAATGTGATTCCATAAAAAAAGCTATAGCAATATTTAATTTAAATATATTTAAATAACATAAAATATACTTTTGAAGTAATAAAATACTTTATATCTATATCTTCTTAGATGAAAAACAATATTTGTATATAATGTGATTCCATAAAAAAAGCTTACACAACTAATCTTGATAATAGAAAAATAAATAATTTTAAACAATAAATATATATAACTATAATATTATTTGAGAAGTCAGTTTCCTACGTGTCGCGCTCACGTTAACTCTCGCGGTGGTTGATTACATAGATACCCTTAATAAATTGTTAGATTTTAAGATTATTATTAATTTTTATTTAGTTTCCTCTTTACCTTTTTCCAAATAACATATATAATGAAAAGGAAATATTTCTAAAATTTTAAAACAAATTTTAAAACGATAAAATATGTATATAATATGAGTTTATTAAAAAGGAAAGTTCACAAAATAGTAATACCCCCATTAATATATATTTTTGAATAACATAAAATATATTTTCAAAATAATGAAAATATATATGTTGATGAACATTCAAAAATTTATCAGTTACACTTTACTTTCTACTATTTTTAAGAAATCAACATATAATTTGATAAATATTATGAAAATACATGTAAATTTAAGCGATAAATCTTTATAATATTATTTGAGAATTCACTTTTTTATGTGTCGCGCTCACGTTAACCCTCACGCTGGTTGATTACTATGATACCTCTAATGAATTAAAAAATACATTTAAATATTATTATTTCTAATAAAAAAATTCCAAATAACAATATAAAATAAAAAAGAAACTTTAATAAAGTTTAAAAAAACTATTTTTTAAAAAAATATAAGTATATATAAATATGGTTTCATAAAAAAGGAAAGTTCACAAAATAGCAATATTTAATTTAAATATATTTAAATAACATAAAATATACTTTTGAAGTAATAAAATACTTTATATCTATATCTTCTTAGAAGAAAAACAATATTTGTATATAATGTGATTCCATAAAAAAAGCTATAGCAATATTGTTGTTAAAAAAAAAAAAAAAAAAAAGCTATAGCAATATTTAATTTAAATATATTTAATAACATAAAATATACTTTTGAAGTAATAAAATACTTTATATCTATATCTTCTTAGATGAAAAACAATATTTGTATATAATGTGATTCCATAAAAAAATCTTACACAACTAATCTTGATAATAGAAAAATAAATAATTTTAAACAATAAATATATATAATTTCAAAGTAATTATTTTTTGTATATATCTATCTACTTTATTAGATGATTACATAGAATAATTAAGTAACATAAACTGATATATGTTTAATTGACAACTTTTGTTATAATTAGTATTCTTGAAATATTTTTAAAATTTTTAGTATATATATCTGACTATAATATCTTACAATTACAGCAAAAAATATAAATTCTATTTTACTTATATAATATAATTCTCAAAAACAATAACATTTTTACTGCATATTTTAAGAGATATTAAAAACAAAACTAAAAAAATGTACAATAAATATTTTTTGATCAAATAACCAAAATTATTTTAAAATATCATCACTATATAATTTAACGAAGTAGATATATTGTATTTTAATAGTTAAAGTTATATGTGTTCTTAATAACTCTTTTGATTTTTAATTTTATGTTTGTGGAACTTAATGTAACCATAATCAAAATACTTAAGCAAATCAGAATCCTTATTTTAAAAATATTTAAAATAATTTCAGTTTACCATCCAATCAATCTAAATATTGTAAATATTGATATGTGTTCATAAGCTTAGAATCACACAGTTTAGTTTTTGTTTTTTTTTTCTAAGCACAAAAAATATTAAGTTATACATAATCTAACTAGATATATTTATATTTCAAAGATAACAACCAGCATAAATGTAAGTAAGACAATTAATCAAAAATCTAATATATTTAGATTAAAAAAATTATAGTTGAATTTAGAGAAATAGATAGAAGCTGATATATCTATATGATAACTAAATCAACCGAAAACAATAAAACTGAGGAAATATAATATATCTAAAATTATATATATAATTAAATTAATAGAATATTCTTAATAGAAACTATACCTACAAATTATAAATTAATTTAAAATTTAAAGTAAATATCAATCAATTATTATAATATATTTATTTTATAAATATTTATGTCCGTGCATGAGCACGGGAAAATCACCTAGTTTATTATAGATTGGTAATAGCAGAGGAAAGTTATTTTTCGCTCTAAACTATATATTACGTTCATGAATTAAATTACTTTTATACTCCATTCGTTTCATTTTAATTGTCATTTTACTTTTTTACACACATATTAAGGAAACATATAACTTTACATATTTTCAAAAAAAAAACACAATTACCTATAACCTAACCACTTTTCAACCAAAAGATAAATATAATATTATATAAAATTAATAAATTTTATCTCGAAACTTTAAAACGACACTTATTTTGAAACGATTTTTTCCTCCAGAATGACAATTAATTCGAAACGGAGGGAGTACATTTTTTTCTTTTTTTTATAAATCATATACTTCTTTCAATATTAAAAAAATTCACAAAATATGATTTATCTTAATTTATTTTATATACTTGTCTAATTTTCACTTGAAATAGGAAATAATAAAAAAGTTTAAAAGTATAGTCGATTAGATTAATTTAACATGAAAAACATGAATCATTCCTCTTTTACATTTTTTATTTCTTGGATTCATCAAGATTTTATTTTTTATTTGTTATAAAATTATGATAATATTTAGGGGAAGCTTAATTTTAACATAAATAATTTTAGTTAGGCATGAAACATGAAATCATAATACTATGTTTTCATTTAAAATATAATTTTTACTAATTAAAAATACATGTTTGTTTAAAAGTTCGTATGTGTTATAATATTTAAACTAGATTTTGACCCGCCCTTAAAGAGGGCGGGTCAATCGTTTTTGCTTTAAATTTATGCCCTTGTTCGATTATTCACAAGTATGTATAGGCATGAGTATCCGGGTTCAGATCGATTGTTGTTAATAATTTGGTTTGGTTCGACATATATAGATTAAATAAAATTACGTACAATTTAATGTGTGGTGTAGGATTTATTTTTTTATTCGTTTTAGTTAAATAACAAATTATAGGGATCCGATAAAATTATGAGTTCTATTCGGTAATCTAAAGTATTGATTTGTAAAAACTGAAATAAGATAATTAATTTTTAATAATTTCATATT